AAACATGATGTACAAAATACAAAACCGGCCTCATTTATTCGGCTTTTCCAACAAACAAGTCTTCGCGGTAATGTCGTTCTCTGTATTCGCGGTAATGTCGTTTTTTGTGTTCGCGGTAATGTCGTTCTTTGTATTCGCGGTAATGTCGTTCGCGGTAATGTCGTTCGTGGTAATGTCGTTCGCGGTAATGTCGCTGTATCAAACGATGAGGTATACCTTTTAACAATTACATATGTTTTTGTTTCATATGTTTTGATTATTTTAGTAGTAAAAGAAACGCAGCAGATATTCTCATTTCAAGAACAACAACAAACAGATTATCCGAGTATTTCAAGACTTAGTACACAACACATCCATTCTGACCAAGACGATCCTCAACAATGGGACACTGATAGTTCTATTTATTCTAACAGTACATATGTTAGAGAAATCTTTTCTAAAAAGATTTGTTCTTCCGTAAATTTAAAATTGATTGTGTATTATATATTTCATTCATTTAAATGGGGTGACCAATACGGCTGATAATTATGACTACACGGATGTGTTTTCTGCTCATGAGTTACATTCTGAGATAGGCTGGTTCTATTTTCCTATTTATTTTCGTTCTTATCTTTAGAAAAGAAACCAGAAACGAATTCTCGAGTACAAACTGCGCAAAATTTGCCTTTGTTTTATAATTCCAAGATATCGGCAGGATCAATCGATTTATTATATTGTTTTAGGTCAAGGATCAACATTGGCAACCGATTTGAACTGGAGATGGAGATCAAGAGTGAATACACGTAAGTAGCCGAATGTGAAGATCTAGAATTACGGAAACGGTCAAACATTATACGTATTTTTTTAGGACAAAACCTTTCTTTGCCAAACATCATTCCCTTCGTTACATTTGGACACGATGATGTCGGTAAGTACTTTAATTAAAGACTTCAACGGAAAAATAGAAGACCTGGAACAACTGATAATCACACTTTACCATACATTACGCATTTACTCTGTTCGTTTTTATTTAGATTTAACCATTTACTCTCTTTGCGAAAATTTAATAAATTTATCCTCAAAAATGTCCAACAAAATCGGAAACAGAGAGTTTTTGAATGAATTTAAAATATGTATTACGTCTTCAATGGATATGTTGCACAAAATTGTTGAGTGCGCTGTTGATCATGATAACGATCGTTTTTATTCAACAAAAGAAGTTTCAAGTCAACAAGAACCATCGGAAAATGATCCATATGAATTTGATGACGAAGAAGTCATATTTCAAAATCAGCGTCACCTGTTACATAATATGACAAACAGGATGAATGCAGTACTATCTGAAACAAGCACGGATCAGGCTTTCGAACAAATGCTTAAGTGACTAATGACAACATTAACTGCTGCAAACATTGTCAAAATATCATACGCTTATGAAAAGCTGAGAGAGTTTGGAAATGTTTTAATACAGAAAAAAACTTTTGTGAATCGTTTGAGAAAAGTTGACGCCCTCAAGCTGTTTCATTCTTGTAACGGTTTAGGTAATTATATTATTTATAGTGATTTTTCAATATATTTAAAATTAATTCTAAAACAATTATTGGATGATAGTGAAGTAATCAGTATAGTTTCGCAACAGCCTTTTACAATATCAAAACAACAACAACAACCGATTCGAAACAACGATTTTGATAATGAAAGTTTATTGATAACAGCAAATAGTATACGCTTCGAAATTGAACTCATGAAACATTACGATGAAACCTTCAGATTAGAATCAATGAGCTTCGACCATTATGTTCAAAACGTGCCTAAATTATTATTAAATTTTATTAAATTATGTACTATGAGTAAAAGCGATTACAAAAAATATCTGGATCAAAATAATGTAATTGATTTTGCGACCAATGAAGTGACGTGTGATCCAACAAAGCAATTGAAACAATTATCAATTTGTTTCGATGTGATGTCGTGTAGGGAGCGTACTAATTTCAATCCAAAACATTCATTATTAGCAATTTCTTTATACAAATTAACCGGGAGCCGACGGGCAGTTGAACTATGTAATAAGTTCGGTATCGTATTGTAAATCAATCATACATTCATCCAAATCCACCATCAAATGAAATAGGTTCGGTTTTTATTAATATAAATAAAATGCAATCTTGAATTTCATGTCCTATCTTCATTGTTTCATGCAGATATTTGTTTTCATATTTTAGCAACATGTATACAACAAAGACAAACTAGTGTACTCAGAGAACTTATTGGTCGGTTGCGAAAATTTAAACCCAAAAAGAACAACGATCTAGTCAACTCCTCAATACGAAGTTCAGCCAGAGGTAAAAAGAAGAGCTGTACTTCTTACTGTACATTTACCAAAAGACCTTCCTGACTACTCAAAGACTTACTTGTCCAAAAGATTAACGTATGTCAATTGTTTCAATTTATTGTTTTTTTTACTCTACAGCAAACACTTTCTAAATGAAGAACCTATATCTTTTGCAAAAATTTTCTTCCCCACGTAAACAATGCAAAGAAACACAATCCCTTGCTTTAATTGCTTAGCGGTTTTTTTACATGTTGCTCTCCAGTTTGATAAAGAAAATCTTCCTTCTACGTCATCAACAATTATCATAAGAAAAAGTAGCAATTCATCCATTACCGATGCGACGAATAATAACATAAAGTTAACACAAACAACAACACAATCAACCATTACTAATGATAGAACAGCTTTTCAGCCGTTGGATAACTCAGCATCCAAATCATTTGATAGCAATTTATTTGTGTACGCACTGAGCCACGTTGACAGGTTAAACAATGAACCAACAAGATATCCATTGTCATCAGAAAATTGTCAGCTTTTGATCCGCTACAGCTAGAAAGCTAGAACTGTCAGGATCGAAACGGAATCGAATAAACATGCCGACAGCGGAGAGATTTGAATTCTATATCAACTCCCTGAATATGTCGCCACAATCGCCGCGAATTACCTTTGTCCAAATTCAAGCGATGAGTCATATATTTTGCCCTTCAATTTGGACAAAGGTAAATCGCGTTGATTGTGGCGACATATTCAGGGAGTTGATATAGAATTCAAATCTCTCCGCTGTCGGCATGTTTATTCGATTCCCTTTCGATCCTGACAGTTCTAGCTTTCTAGCTGTAGCGGATCAAAAACTGATCATTTTCTAATGTATCTGGATATATGTATTTGTACCTAAACGTGCAACAGCATATTTTTACTCTCTGGTGATTGGCATTTCATGAAAAACTTGTTCGGAATTGTTGGAAAATTTATCAGTGGTTCAGGTATGCTCTTGTTGGAAGTTATCTATATTATGCGGTAAAACAACAGTCTAATTGAGTGAAGGGCCCAGTCTATGGTAGCGGGCTTCCGAGTTAAACATTTCCTAACACCACTCTGCTCACTATTATAATTGTTCCATTGACTAATGTTATTTTAATAATACTAATAATAGTGCTTCAGTTATATACAACTAAAACAAAAAGGAAACAAATGAGAGAATACTTGCTCTGTTTCGTTCCCAAGAAACATTGAACAATAGCGTTTGTCATACTTGTTGTAGTACCAGTACATATGGCCGTTAACGTCTTTTTTTGGTTTTAAAACAAAGTAAAAGAGAAGAAAAACTTTCAAGGACAAACGATTATTAATTGAGCAAAAAATAACAAACCGGCTTTTTAAAAACTGAAAAATAGAAAATAAAGGCTGTAAGGGAAGCTGTAAAAGTACACATACACATACACGAAATATAGGAAGAATATATTTGGAATTTTTGTTCGGTTAAAAACACTAACAAAACCACTCACTCAACTTTGTAAAAGAAAACGAACGCTTTCAGCTTGACTTCAGGAAAAAAGATTTACGAACACCTCTCAATCCAGTCAGATGTGTAATTTAAAAAGATAAGAAGTATGGATAATAAAGAAAAAATAGAAATTTTAACTATGATAAGAAAAAAATCGACTTAAATATACTAAACAGTTAATTCGACTGATTTTGCGGTATTGGCTGTAACGGATGAAAATATTTTCAAATTTGTTCAAGTGCACGTGTAATAAATTCTGAAATCTAGAAAATAAGAATACGAGTGTAGTAGTATAGAAGAATAGTGTAGATACAGTAATTTTTATGTATGTAATATATGTTGATTTCTTAATTGTTTTAAAAAATTATGTGATGTATGTCATAATAAAATAGGCAACTGAACATAATCCCAAAGGAATTGGTAGAGCCGGTAGAGCAGATATTCGATAACGACAAAAGATTAATGAATGTAAAATACAACAGCCGAACATCATAGTAAAATAGCAAATAATTATCGTTGCTAAACTCCCTGAATCAGCCACTTTTAACATTAGAAAACTATACCAGATAAAATCACCATAACCAAGACCGGATGAACAAGAATCGTCTAGATAAAACCACAATACATAATTTGTATCAGACTGTATATTGAGAGCTTGGTTTTGGTTTGAATATGGATAAAATACTGCATAAATATCATAAAAACACATGAAACAAATAAAAATCCACTGAAGATCCAAATAACCAAGATGAGCAATTAATTCATGTGTTATCAATGCATCAATTGATGAATATATAATGATATAAAATTGTCGAAAACAAAGTAAATCATGATTTATTAGTGAATTAATACCGATAATAGTAAAATTCCAAAATAAAAAATGAACTGTAGACCATTCAAATATAAATGAAGAATATTTTGATAATAATAATAATATTCGATACATGTATAAATATAGATAAATTGAACGGTGAATTAAGAAAAAGTAGACAGAATATCTATAGTGAAGTGAATAATTGGATATCATAGACAGGTATATTCTTTCCAATAACACCATGAAAAATATGAAAAAAATAAAATGAATTATACCTTAATCCAAATCACCATAGAGTTGACAACATAATCTAATATCTAAATGTTTGAAAAAAAATGAAATCATTTCTATGAGAATAGCTTGTTAGATCTTCATTCGACTACTCGTTCAATTCTCAAAACGTATTTCAATATAAAGTGTAAGATTTTATTATTTTTTGCTGTATATGATTGTTAACGTTTTAAACAACGGTAGTGGCAGAATATTTGTTACTTTTGACCTCTCTAACAATCACCTTAATAATATTACCTTTTTCTTGTTTCTTACAATTCATTATATAATGAAGAAAACCCATGACGCGATCAAAGGTGGTATCTGAATTGATTTGACATAAAATTATTTTTAAAAATATTGTTAAGACTATTGTAATAGAAACAGAAAAAAATAACTGACATTCAGAATACACATGTAAAAACAAGTCTTCCATCGTTCTAATTTTCTCTTTCGATTTTTTAAACGTTTGTAAACTAACTTCACAAAAGGAATTGAATGACTTTGGACTTTTTTTAACAGACATTTATAGATTCAAGGAAAGACAAACCATCGCCAGTGTTAATTTTCTTTTTTTCTTCATGTAATTAGCATTTCTGACGAAAAATAAGATATATTAAAATAAGAAGGACAAAAGAGTAACAGACACATACGGATATGAAGTATATGAGTTAGTCCATTCAGAATAGTCATAACTAAATTCTTCTATGCTTTAACAGATATGGAGATGGACGTTCATGTCAATGACAACGAAAATGAAATTATCAAGCAAAAGAGGCCACCTTTTTGTAGGATCGACTATATATATTAAAAAAATGAAATGAATTTTCGTTATTTTTAAAGATTAGGAGAATGGAAGAAATTTTCTCGGTTGGAAACCTCATCGAATTTTCCAAACAAAAATTATTAATACTTGAATCAATGTTTAGATATTCAATAATATATAAACGTTGATTCAAAGAAATATAACATGAAAAAAGTTTACGAGAATTTTCAAAAAGTTAATGACTCAGATATAACCAAACTAGTCGGTCGTTATTCTTCTGTCCTTACGAAACTCACACACCTATACCCAGGTCCAAGAAAACGGCACCGTTAACGGCCCGTTAACTGGTCGTTAACGGTAAGTTAACGTGCCGTAAACGGACCGTTTTCAGAATCTAAAACTCGTAACGTTTTAGGATCTTAAATAAATCGTTTTTTCACCGTTTACGGATCGTTTTCTAAACGTTTTCTTACCATTTACTGGCTGTTTATTGACCGTTTACTGGCCGTTTTTGTTGTTTT